GATGATTATGATTGTTGATGTTTGGTGTGGCTGCGAAATTCAACAGCCACAATAAATGACGTCGTTTGGTGTGGCTGCTGAGATTTCAACAACCACAATAAATGCTCTACCATTTCGGCTCCACCAAAATTGCCCATTTAATTCGACTCCTCAAATTCTGCCTCTCCATCTTTCCGCCAGAATTCTAGGGAGCATGTTCATTTTTTTTTCTTCTATAAAAGGGGTGCCTCCAGGGGGTAGTGTGTGCATGGAGTGAGAGCATTAGAAAGCTGAAGAGATTGGGAGAACTCCATCGCCATCTTCTGGCAAGATCTGCTCCTATTCTGTTTGGGATTGATTTTCTTCTTCATTGCTGCCATTAAGGGTTCTCTCACACCAGATCAAAGCAGTCGTCTATGTTTTCGAGTGCTTCAAGGTTTTGTTAAAGGCATTTCGGCACTAGTAAGGTGGTCAGTTTGTAGTTCTCTCATCAAGGACATTTATAAATAAGTTTTATTTCTTCTCCTGTGGATGTAGGTTTCTTTGATCGAACCACGTAAATCTAGTGCTATCTTTACCTTTCTTTTGCTCTTATTATTTGCTTTATAATTCACATATTTCTCAATTATTTTCTTATTTGCCATGCTAATTAATTGGTAATTCAGAGTTTAATCCTATCAATGAGATTATTGATGATGATGATGATAGTTAAGGAGGAGAAGAGAGATCAACAAGCGTCTTGAGGATAAAGAGGAATAAATGTAGACAAAGATTTAAGATATATTTCATGTTTATGTATTTTTTTTTATTTTAAAGGACTGAGCTTGAGAAAACGATACATTTTGTTTAATAATGTATCTACACAAATCAGAATGCTTTGAAGAAGGAATCAAACAAAATGGAGGCCCATGATATCTTTAGGTATTTCATGTTTATGCATTTCCTTAACAAAGTTCAAATGAAATCGTTAGGCTCAGTTTGGAAGGAGTATAAATGCAAATATGTTGAGTGCAAAACCTTGCATTTTGTATGCATTTGTACTGTACATATTTGTATTTGTACTCCTTCCAAACTGAGTACAAATAAAGATTTATAGAGTGCAAAACCTTGTATTTTGTATGTATTTACATTGTACATATTTGTATTTGTACTCCTTCCAAACTGAGCCTCAGGAGTTTCCCTTTCTCTGTAGTCTGTATGCGGGAGAGAGAGAATCCCGCCCAAGTGACTAAAACTGCCAAATCAACACTCCGAACACGACTCCCTCACATACTCATAAGAGCCACCAGAAAGAGCCCCGCATTTTTCCCCTCGATCGTTTGCCTCTCCCACCCCTTAACGAATGGCTTTGTTGGGTTTTTCAGAGGAAGGGGAGGTGGTGGTTCACACTTCGAAGGCAGGGTTACAGAGAGAGAGATTGTAGTTTGCGTAGGTGCTTGATTGGTGAGTTCGAGGGAGATCCCCCCAGTGTTGAAGATGTCAAATGCTGGGTCTCTGGTTTCGGGAACTTGGAGCCGGTATGATACTCATGAGTAGATGGGGGCATAGATTTATTTTTTATCAGCAACAAAGGGGAGCATAGACAGATAGCTTATTAATCGAATAAATTTTTCTTGTAGTGTAATCAAGCTATACTTCTATTTCAGATGTATACTTGGTCTTATATACCCCATCTTTTTTGTACGAGACTTTATTATCTGATTGTAATCCTTAGTAGGATAAAATGAATGATTGAGTTTTAGGGTACATTGTGCTGATTCTCTTTTCGAATAAAAATATAAAGTCGTTAGTAAAATCTTTATGGCTTTAATGTGTTCTTTGGAATGGAAAACAATCTTTACTAAAAGACAAGTGAGCTTAGTAAATTGCATAAAAATCAACTGCTTAAGAATAATTTACTATAATTAATCTTGACTTTCTCAAAATGGGGCATGATAGAAGCACTTGGGGCACAAGATCATTTGCAAAAGATCCATAAATTATCTTATGCCTCAAATACACCTTCATGCTCTTCCATGAAAACCTTTACCTTATTTTCATCATGAAACATGTAATTATTTTTAAGGCCTCCATTTCTATGATTGTAAGATGGTACATATAGAAACAAGGTGGCAATGACTAGTATTAATAATATAATAATTTGATGGAAGAAAACAAACTAAATGTGGTTCTCCTTCACTAGATAAATAACCTACATCTCTCTCTCATTTAACTTTGTTTCTTTTTTTTTTTTTTTTTCTTTTGGTATTACATATTACAAATTGCAAGGGGATTAAGGGGTGGGGAATATGATTGTCAATGGACTATGTTATATTCCAATCTTACCCAATCTAATATGCATCCATTTAAAAATGGTTAAAGTCCAACCTGACCCAAATCTATTGGAAAGATGGTTTGGTCCGATTCATTTTAATGCAAATGGATTGGATTGGATGGGGTCTAATCCAATTTGATCGAAATAACAGAAATCACATAAAAATATAAAAATATAACAACTTATAGAAAATATAAAATATTATAGAAAAATATTAAAAGTTAAAAAATTTAAAACTATAGAAAATTACTAAAATGCCCTTAACACTACCTATTTAAACAACCTAAAGTTTTTTTATTCAAATCAATTAGACTATGTTTGGTTTGAAGGAAAAGATAAGGAAAAGAAGGGAAAGACGGGGAAACCTATATAAGGTTTGTAAAGATTTCCCTACTTTTTCCTTCCTTTCCCTACATTTTCTTTCAAACCAAACATAACCTTAGAGAAAAGGCATTATTCATTTTCTTTAAACTACCAAACTAAAAACCAGCAACAGTGGTAAGTTTCCAATAGTTTGTATTAGAGCACATGTTTGATCATTTCTTTAAACTATTCTTTCTAAGAAGAGACAAATGAGTTATATAATGGTGCAAAAAATAAACAACAAAACATAAGAGGATGTGATGGGGTTGAACAAATAAGTTAATGTACTTATTCAATAGTGGCTTTGACACACTGCATTCTCATTCTAAAATTGTGGATAGTGGCTTTGACACAAGTGCTTCACTTATTCTTTTCATCATCAAGAAAATCAACTACATTGGTTATAGTTGTAGATGGTGATCAGAGATAGGGAAATAGGTTTCATGATTGAGATCTTAGAGTTTCATGGAGGTATGATTCTAAAAGAATATTAAGTATACTCTCATTTTAATTAATATTATTTTGAATATTAAATATTTAAATATGTCCATATTATAATTAGTTATAATTAAAATACTTATACATTAATTGCAGTAGCGATAGATAAATAAATAGGTGGAAAATATTTACATTTGATTGGTTGGTTTTTTAAAAAAGAAAAATAGTAGGTAAAGCAACCCCAATAAGAATTATATATTAATTAATTAAATGTTAAATATTAGTTTAATTAATTAATTAATAATATTTTCTATTATGTTATATTTTTTATTTTATTGATAATTATTAATTAATTAATTAACTAGTTTGTTCATTAGGGGTGAGTGTTCAGTTTAGGTATCATGACTAGGCCTACAACTTGAAAAAGTTGAGAAGGGTTGGATCAGGCTAATATTTAAGTTAATTTTTTTAGCATATTTAAGTTAAAGTTAAAAAGTATGAACCCAACCTAACTTGAAGCTTTCAAGTTGGATTAATGTTATGGTTGAGTGTTCCACAACTCATATTGGGTTTGGTTTACCTATACTTGACATAACCTAGCCTAACTTGCACTAGGGCTGTCAATGGGTCGAGTACAAACTCGATGGATAAAAAATCGATTAGGGTTGGTTTTGGGTCCTAATACATTACCCCGAGCCTGATTCAGTTATAGGTTTAAAAATTATCGAGCCTCATTCAGTTATAGGTCCTTAAAATTTATTATTGAGTTGATTTCAATTCTAACTAGACCCGACCCAGACCCAACCCATTGACAACCCTAATTTGCACCCCCTAATCATGATCTAGTAGGGCGTGCCAATAAAAAATTATTGAAAAATACTCATGCAAAAATTATTGAATAATAATGAAAAAACATAAAAAATTAATTAAAGATCTAAAAATTCTGAAAAACCTAAAACTTAATTAAAATATTAAAAATAATAAAAAATAAATTAATTATATTTTATTGCAAAAAAAACTGAATAACAATGAGTGGGGAACCCATCCCCGTAGGGATCAGGGATGGAGGACAAATTTTATCCCCGATGGGGATGGGGTTAATTTCAGTATCGAGGTCAAGAATAGAGAATATGATCCCACTACAACAAATTCAGCATATATCAACAGATTTCTTAGCAGTACAGCCAACACTAAGAAATCCGCCGCTATACATCTTTTTTTAAGTGGCGATTAATAAAAATCGCTGCTATAGAAACCAACGTTTTAAAAAATGACTCAGAAATGGAACCGTTTTGACCACCGATTTCCATGTTAACGACCTGACTGTCCGGTCCGAATGGACAACCTGTTTCTGACAAACAAATTAAAAAAAAATAAAAAGTAATTAAAAATAAAAAAACGGTCACAAACCGTTGAACGGGTTGACGATTCGATCGCTCGAGTCAACGATTTGTTGACTTTTTCAATGTTTTTGACCAAAAGTGGGTCTTAGGTAAAACAAAACCGGTTGCTTGGACAGTTCGAAAACCTTGGTAGGAACAATTAAGCATGGTTTTTAAAACCGTCCCGGAGACCGAACCAGCCAGGGGTCTGGTTATCAGGTCGAATGGTCTGACCGATTGAATCGAAAGATCGGCCCGTTCTAAAAAATAAAAAAATTTAAAAAATTAAAAAATTTTAAAAATAAAAAACAGCCAAAACCGTTCAAATGGTTCGAACTTCCACTCGAGTCAGCAGTTTGCTGACCAAAATCAACGATTTTTGAAGAAATTCTGGTTTTGGGGAAAACTGAAACCGGTCACCTGACCGGTTCCCCGTTTTTCTGGTCCGACCGTCCGGTCCGATTTTGAAACTATTGAAAACCCAAAACATTCACTCGCACATTGATAACCCAAAAAGAGAGAGTATTCTCTCCCGCGCAAACAAAACTCCCACAGTCCCACTTCCCTCGTCATCCCTCAGTCTGCACCAGTGAACCTCCCACTTCCATCCATCTCTCCTTAATCTCTTGCGTCTCCTTCCTTCGGCGTCTGAAAAGAAGCGATCGGACTGAACCAGAAATCTGGTGAGGTAAGTCACCGATTTCTTTGTCTTTTCCCCTTCTCCTTACATCTTCTCTTTTTTTTTTCATAGTTGAGTGCTCCTCATTCTCTTCTTCTTCTTCTTCTTCTTCTTCCATACTAACTTTTCTTTATTGTTCGAACAGGACATCTAGGTTTTCATAGTTCGAACAGGGCGTCTAGGTTTTCATCACAGTTTGAGTAGGGCATCTAGGTTTCATCGCCTGAATAGGGTAAGCAAAGAAAAGCATTATTTCTTTGCATAGCTATTATTTTCTTATGAATAAATCTTCTACTATGTTTGTTAGGGTTCCTATTTGATTTTTATGGAATTTTAATTCCAGTTTAGTTTTCTACCATAAAAATTTCAGTTTAGTGAAATAAATCTATCGATATGCTATTACTTCCAATGATAGACGAAGCGGTCCAGATAGGAGAGGATTTCAGTTTAGTTTTACTTCCAATAAAAATTTCAGATTTCAGTTTAGTTTTACTTCCATAAAAATTTGTTGATACCTCTACGTCTCTTCCTCTTACCAAACCTACTAAGTGCAAGATTTCAGATTTTTACACTAGTATTATTTATTATTTACTCTGCACTCTAGATCTGATACAGCAATTGGTTGAGATAGTTAATTTATTATTTACTCTGTTTTTTTTCAGAAATTAGACTATTCTGGAACTTCACCCTAATAATTTTAAAATTCAGTCCAAAGACAATACTTAACGGAATTTCTGTTTAAGCTAGCATGCTTCTGTGGTAGGTTTGATTCTTCTATACAAATCATTTAGAGATAATACTATTCAGAGAACCATATTTTTATGAGTAGTAAATCCATTGCCCAAATACCTCCATTCCAAGTTTGTGATGGAATAAATAAGGTGATGTCTAGAAAAGTGATGGTATATTAGAGACCATGTCTCTCACATGATTAATGCTCTCTCTACAATTGGTCAGATAAGAATTCCAGAAGTTTTGGTTGACACGTTCTCTTTTTGAAAAGTTCAAGATGCCTAATTGTGGAATGTGGATCATACAACATGATATATGCAAAGCAGATTTTATAAGGTTCAGGGTGCTCCAGAACCAAGGTCCATGAAACCAGAAGGAAGCCAGCAAATGGAGGAGTGCATATCCGTTTGGAGTAATACAGACATAGCTTACTTAGGGATAGAGTGACAATGTATTAACCATGAAATGGCTCCCCAAGATCTTGAAAGGTGGTTCAGCTGTTATCGAGTGCTAATTGGATAACCAAAGAAGCATTCCCCTCTAGCCAGCAGATATCTGTAATTCCATACAAGAAAATCCTTCGATAAGTAGATACATAAAAGTAATATGTATCCATTAGCAATGTTAGGTTTACTAAAGAGTCATAGGTTCAAATATCATAGAAAGTGGAGGTTGAGGAAGACTGCCAAACTATAGTTTGCTGGATGTGGAAACAAGATATGATTTCTTGAAGACAGTCACAGTCCTTAGGTACCTTATTGAATGACCCATTCAACTAGGTACCAAAAAGTGCAAATGGACAAGAAGACTCTCTATCAAGGGCAGGAGTGACAAGGAATCAGCTTGAATGGGGCCGTCCAGTGTCGAGTTGTAATCTGTATTTTTTTTTTCTTTTTTGATGTAATGAGAGCTATATGAGCTTGGATGCTGGTATTGTATTATCTTTGAACCACTTTGTGCAAGCTTTGGCCTGCTGCTTTGTTTTCTTACAGTAAGGCAGTTCTAAGGAGAGGTCATCAACCTTTTTGTTTAAGTATCAAAGGAATTTCTTTATCTGACAGAAAATGTGGGATGTACTTCTTCCTCCTTGATCAACTGACTGGGATAAAAAGCCATCTCCCAATACTGGTCACAGCTTCTAGGGTCTTGGGAGTGGTGTCCCAGATATGGACCTAACTCTGGCAGTTTTTGGCATGAAGTGGCCACTCTCAGACTTTAGTTCATGTTCTCACACTTACCAGCTGAAGATTTGACCATCATACTAAGGAACATCCCTTCCCAACTGTCTTAGATGACACAAATTTATTCATCCAACACTTGAATTTAAAACTGAATAGGCAGCTTTCGCTAGCAAGTTCCAATGACCTAGGCTGACAAACCTGAGATTATGGACTCTAAATCCAACACATGTTCTTTGGATGCATTGTTCTATATATTGCATGTATAAGTGACTAATCACACTATTGACTTGTTAGTATTTTAATGTGAAGAGTCCTTAGGCCCAATGCATGCAAAATCCTTTTTCATAACAGTTTTAGGCACTTTTGTAACGCTGTCTTGGGTCAGCTTATATGCTGATTTCTTTGTAACTTCTTGTTGTATATTAAAGCTTCTTAATTAATGAAAATTTTCAGAGTTATTGCACTCCTACCTGATATAAATACTTTTTGTTTCAATTGCTTTTGAAAATAAGAAAAAAAAAAGAATAGGAGGAAATGGGAAGAGATCATAGGCTTGAGTATGTGAGTTACAAGTTGGTTGATAGGAATTGTTTAAAATAGCATAGAAGTAAAAGAAATCTAGTAATTGTTTCTTACAGTAATGAATCATCTTTGTTGTTTACATGTTCTTTTTTATTGTTTATAAATATAATTAATCCATATGTGCTAACTATTTTAATCTTTGGTGTGATTACAGATGGACAGTGAGGATCACATAGATCCAGAACTCCCCAACAATGACCATACTGTAGAGGAGGTTGGAGGTTCATCCTCCCAAGCCCCTGGGCCCTCCCGTAGAAAAAGGGGGTCAGGGAAGCGTGGCAACACAGTGTTGCCACATGTCCTACAGAGGAAGAGAGATCAAGCTCCAACCGTGGAGCTTGATCATTATGATCGGCCTGTTGGGGAAGTGAGGCCAGAATTGATGTCGTATATAGGTATGTTAGTGAGGGATTGTTCTATAATCCCAATCTGCACCACCGATTGGAGGACAATAACTGATGCAAAAAACAGAATTTATGATGCTGTTAAAGTAAGATCCACATTGTTTTTGTTAGTTGATAAGCCTTGTACTTTTTTTTTTGATGAATTTGATTATTGCCTTGTATTAATTATTAATGCCTAAAATTTTTCTTCTTTCATCTTTGGTAGGAAAAATTTATTGTCCCAAATGAGATGGAGAAAACAGATATCCTTGCTGTAGCTGGAAAAATGCATCGATGCTTTCGATGTCATGTAAAGAAGAAATATTTTGACAAATATGCTCCTGATCATGAGAAAGCATTCTCGGAGGCACTTCAACATGAGAGAAATATTGATCGTGGTGATCTTCAACGCCTCTTTAACCATTGGGAAACGCCAGAGAGCAAGGTATAAATTGAAAATAATATTGGTAAGTCTTTTTAAGATATGGTAATTATATAATTTTTTGATTAATATCACTAAATTGTCTTTGTTATAGGCAAAGTGTGAAACGATGACTGAAGTGAGGTCACATAATACGGTCCCTCACCACATGGGCCGGAAATCCTATGCTGCTCACCTCCATGAAATGGTGAGAAAACTAATGCATTTATACCTTTGATTCTTTTGTTAGTTTATATATTGACTCTCAATGGTTTGTTGTAGACGGAAGAAAGAAGGCAAAAGAATATGCCCCCACCTAGGAGAGAGGACCTATTCAAGAAGGCCTATACAAATTCCCAGGGGGGGTTTTATGATCCTCGAGCGAGGGAACTTGCTGTAACTATTTTTTTTATTTTTATCCATTTAATTATTACTTGTATGGTTATGTGATGGTCCATTTTAAATAAATATATTATTTGAAATTGTTGTAGGCCAAGATGAAAGCATATGTGGATGAACAAGCAGAACAGGGCACCCAAGTTGAGCCCATTGGTGCCAATGATGCAGTGGCGGTGATTTTTGGTAAAGATCATCCATCGCGTGCTCGTTGCTTGGGCTTCGGGGTGAACCCAAAGCGTGCGTTCGGAACTAATGGGTCCAAAAGTGCCACCAGTAGTACATCCACTTCGTGTGATTCAGAGTTGCGGAAAGAAAACCAAATGCTTCGAGGAGAGGTGGGTGATCTTCAAGCAAAAGTAGCACGATTGGAGTCCGTGGTGGAGCAGTTAGCGCACCGTCAAGGATTGGGTGCTTTGTTTCCCACTCCTGCTTCAGTTCAGGTAAAATCTTGAAAATTGATCCCTCTACTATGGTTAAATAGTTGATAAGAGTGCACCTTGATGAGTATGGTAGGTGAAACTAATTCCTAAACTATAAAAACCCTAAACCTAGAAAACTTAGAAACTAATTCCTGAAACCCCAAACCTAGAAACTAATTCCTGAACTATAAAATCTCCATTCAACACCATACTATTGAATATTAAAACTTTGGTTGTTCATATCCAACAGCCTGGGCTGTCAACAGGGCTCTCCTTGCAATGACATGTTGGTTCACACAGCAATGAATCCAACACCTACACTATTACAAGGGGTCTCTGTAAATTATATATCATGTAGGGATATCCCAGGCTATCGAATTCAGACATTGGCTTTTAAACAGTCTACGTGAACTAACGAGTTCATGTAGGGAGAACCCTGTTGACAAATTGACAGCAGGCTGCTCCTTTTAAAAAAGAGCTTTTAAAAAGGAGGTATTGGTCCTTTTCAGGGTGGATGTTAAAATCACCTCACCTAAAAAGGTCTACACTTTTCTCCAACAAATCTCATTCTGATTCAACACTTGATTTTCAAGGTTGCAACAATATATAGCCATGCCTGCTTTAAGTTTCCAACAAAAACATGAAGAAGATGGCTCATCATCTTTCTCTGTCAATACTTTTTCAACTTCCCACCATATATTGAGAGAGATTATCCACAACTCGACAACCTTTTTAATGAAAATGACCACTAGATTGGAACGATATCAACATACATTGCATGCTTGTACAGGAGTCAGAACTCTATCACCCAATTAGATCCATGGAGAGCAATTTCAACCCAAACCCCAAATGTGTTTCATTTTCAACCTCCTTGGGACTAGAAAAATCATAATCTTCTAATTGAAAGAATGAGAAAGAATTCTATCTTGTTGATGTGGGAGTTAAAAATAATTAAGCAGATCTGCATAGGAGATTCTTGAGTAAGTCAACTTAGTTTTCTGATTACTATAAAACTCATGAGCCATGGAAAACAGATCAGTTAAGAACTGAAACATCTCGAAAGCATGGAAAAAGGAAGTCAAAGCGATTCTGGTGATAGTAACAACGATGAAATGATAGTTGCCTAAACCATGAAATAGGATTAGTATGTATACCCACAAAAAAGATTATGGAGATAAGGTTCTAGGAGTGTAATACAAGCTACATGTTGTTAAGAGAAGTGGTAGAACAGTGCAGCTTTGATCGTGAGGTGAGATCCAGTCCACACCATCTAGAAAATCATCACTAGCTATCTTACCTTGATGAACCCAAATTTGGGTTCTCTTGTGAATCAGAAAGGACCACGTAGCAGCTAAGTAGTAGAAATGTAGAATGAGTGAATGACCTATCATATCAGCAGAAATTGAACTACCACTACTGAACTGAACTGAACAAAAGACTCGCTCTTTCTGGTATACGTGTAGGTATTTCATCAGGCTTTAGTTTGCACCATGTGAACTACCAAGAGGGGTAGGTTGAGTACTTGAGTTGGAGCAATCTGTGAAACAACTTTTCTCTTTCCCATCACTTGGTTGAGGTATAACCCAAAGCCACTTGATTGAAAGAAAAAACAACTCTTTTACAACTATGCAGAAAAGTAGACAATAGCAAAGGCACTGATCTGGGTGCCCACATCACCTTGACCTCTTATCCTTCTCAACAATTTCATGTTTCAAACCAGAAAAGTTGACCTGATAGGACTAGGGATTCGTAAAATTAAGTACACTTGTAGTCTTAATTAGAATCAAATTAATATGGCTCAAAGTTGCTAGAGGATATAACAAGGTTGCTTACATTTTAGCTAAAAAGGCCCTTTCAAATCGATCTCTAGAATTTTATGATTGTTTGGGTGTTGGTCTGCATTATTATTGAGGTGGTGGCATTCTTATGAGAGAGAGAGAGAGAGAGAGGCTAAGGTTGCAGGTCAATAATCACTATGATCCACCGTCCCTGCAAAACTGTCGACGATCTCCACATGAATAAACAAATAAATTAATAAAAGCTTATGTTAAATGAAAGAATTCCAAAAAGATGAAACCCAGACAAATCTGTTATGTTCTATTCATATAAACAGAAGTCCAAAGTATAAGCTAGCTTTTATATGAATAGGGTAGGAATTTGCTAGTCTAGTCTGACCCGGGAATCTTTCATGTGACATTCCATTAGGGCTCCATGTCTTCCCCTCCCTCTGAAAGAAAAAAAAAAGAATTGAACTCATGTAGGTCTGCTTTATTATTGTTTAATAGTTTTCTTTTCTTTTTTTTCCTATACACTAGAAGGGTATCTTTTTTTTTTTTAATTTTCTGATGAAAAAAAAAAACAACTGTTGGCTTCCCTTTAGAAGGATGGATGCCCAGAAGAAAGAAGAATCTAGTTTAAGAGGTTTCTACCTTATAATTGTGGTTTACCTAACTCAGAAAGTCATGCCACAGGTCAAATTTCATGGTGTTTGCAACTCAAGTGCTATCTCATGAACTCCACAAAACTGAAAACCCTTGCTGTGACAATTCACAGTATACGTGTCCTGTTTTCTAACAATCAGATATGGAGGAGCTATATTTTAAAATGCAAAGTATACAAGCTGAATTTTGTAGGTTAGACCATGGAATGGTATGTCCCCAAAACAGAGATCAAGTACAGCTTTGAAACCATTTGAAAAGTGTAAAGGTCCCCAAAACATCTTGTATATGCAAAGCTTCAGTTTGCACTCTGTTTTCACAGAGATCAAGTACAACTTTGCAACTGTCGAGCGGGGTTAGTACAAATATCTCCTTTAGGCTCAGCTTATGTATCAGTAAACCAGCCACCCACTCCAGTCCAAAACAGGTTTTTTTGCTATCAACACCAACTTCCTGGCCCACTGTTCTTTCTTGAAGTTTACAGCCAAGCTATTGTTTGCTATTGTTTGCAATTAGCTTGAGTTTGTTTAATTATGGTGACTTGAACATCTAGAAGAACAAGCTATTGTTTGAATTTTAAAAATATATATTGTGTAGAGCCATGGATTGGAAAACAATCATACTTTGGGTGAAAATGATCTCCATACCTCTCATGATGCTCCGCCAGCAAACCCTGGAAGCCATCTCAACTTTATTTTTATTTTCATGCATTTATAATTTTTTGCGTGAAAATAATATTCTATTTTCATTATCTTTTACAGGAGATCCAACAACTTGGATTAGAAGCATCTGATGCACGTGAAACAAGTCAGGAGAGGGAAGGAGCATCTTATGCACATCAAACAAGTCGAGAGGAGAGGGGGAATGTGAAGGGGAAGAAGAAAGTTCCTTTTAGATGATGTATTTTTATTTTTGTTTTTTGGTTTTGAACATAAAACTATCAAATATTTTCTTGTAAAAAAGATTGTTGGGCTTAAAGATGATTGAAAATTTAATATTTAAGTTTATTTTTAAATTTTGCATTGTGTATTAATGTGTATTCAAATTACATGTTGATAAAAAGTCTTGTTTGGCTTACAAGTTGATAAAAGCCTTATTGGGCAAATTGCATAAATAGGTGATGGATGGTTAATAAACCATATAAAAAACTTTCGACGACGTTTAATTGTCACCAAAAGTAAAGATTCACAATTTAGACAAATGTCACCAAAAATAGGTTTTGGCGATGTTTGCTTACCGTCACCAAATATATCACTTTTGGTGATGTTTATAAACGTCGTTGGATATATCACTTTTGGTGATGTTTATGAACGTCGTCAAATGTATAGTTTTAGTGACGTACACAAATGTTGTGAAACCTCGTGGCTTTCGTCGTGAAAACATTTGATTCGCGACATTTGTCAAATGTCAATTGTTTTAGAAATGTCACAGAAAGTTTCCGCAACGCTAAAGATCGCGACGTTTGCACATGTCGTTGAAAACTTACCACGACATTTGGGTAGCTTTCGACAACGTTTAAGTAACGTCATCAAAACCCTGTTTTTTTGTAGTGTAATAAATATTTCTTACCTTCTTTTTTATCGAACATCCATAAGTACTTAACAATCACTTAATGTGTGGTCTCATGTCTTAAAAGATGTTCTCGTTGAATTCGGTTCAACGACATTGTTTCAGCAAAGCTGGTCTCCTAATTGCTTAAATCGAAATGGGTATGTAAAGAGAGCAAGAGAGTGGAGAGAATTGATGAATTCACCCTTACCCTCTTAGTCCCTTATATAGAACACTCTCTTAATCTAAATGAAATTTAGATTAAGACTTTATATTTAATTTGATAAGAACTCTCTTCTTAAGAAAATGGGTGTTGCATACCTAGATCTATGCCCATTTTCAAAAGTATGGGCGTTATGCCCATTTTTTCTAATGATTCATGTCCTAAGGTGTTGCATGGCCGCTTTGGGCCTGGATATTGTATGGTATGGGACCCACAAAGGTTTTACAAAAGTCCATAAGAGTTTGACCCCACTTCTAGTTGTAGTTAGGCCAAATTCATTACTAAAGGGCCAATTAACTTGGGCTCAGTTTGGGCCCAACATTTATATATAAATAATCATTGGATTCAACCACCCTATGAAGATCCAAGGATAATGGACTTATGTAAGATAAACCCCATCGGGTAATCAACCCTGTAATAGTCTCTTAAACCTAACTTCTCAGTCCATAATCATCAAAACACTATCTATAGGGAATGACCTTTTCCCTGACTGTGACATGCAATGTCACACTAGATTTCTACTCGAATGGATCTTGGGATTAAAGCCTTTTGCAAACATTTTTAAAAAATAGTAATATAACATATAAATATATTTTGAAAATTAGATTTCAAATATAGTTGAAATCCACTGTTGATGGTTTAGGTTTCCATTAGAGATAGTGTAAACCCTAATATTTACTTTGTCTGACAAATGAGCTAATACTATCACTATGATTATCCATTCAAATAATTTCTTGAACTGCTCCAAGATGCTTAGATATTTGAACCTTGATGAATCTCACTGGTTGGTTATCAAACATAACTTAGTCCAAAACCTAGTGTAAGGCATAATTGGAAATTGGTTCATTTTCAGTGTTTCTTCTAAAAACCCACTAGCTGTGCTTAGGGTTTAACCCTAATAGTTGAAATACCAGTGTCAACCTTATTAGGATAAGCTACCAAAGTCTACCCAATGGCTGAGAACATTTTAACTAACACGAATTTCATAAGCGTCTAATTTAAGGAGTAATTCACAGAAATATACTATTAAAAACATGAAGCAATAATGCACTTTATTCATTTACTAATAAATGTTTATGTACACCAATTTAATTGGAGCTAAGGGCATACACTGTCTAATAGAATTATTATTCATTGACCGTTATTTTGTTGGTATCATGGATGATGTACAATTGGTAATAGGACATATTTTATAGTGCATGATGGATTGTTCTTTAAAGGAACTAGCCTTTACGTACTTGATTACTCTTGGTGACTTAAAATTATCAAAGAACTACATAATGAGGGACACTTTGAATAGCACAAAATGACCCATATTACATATGCAAAGTGTCTAAGGGAACAGTGACCAATGCAGGACTATACATGCCACTTCTAATTACATGTGAGCCTTGGGTGGATATCTCTATGATGATCATAGATCACATTTAAGAAATTAGTCACTTCATGTCTTGTAGGAATACAAGGAAGGCTCACTTATTGCTAGCTTATTCCTTAGAGTCTACTCGTTTTTCAAATTTTGAAAATGGGGAAATTGATCAATGGGATTTTGGTTCCCATTAATTGAGATACCCATGTTCTTTTTTCAGATTTATGTGCGGTCTATGGAAAATTCATTTTCCTTGAGTATGACATACTTGGGTAAGTGATTCCCATCTCCTATGTGGGTATGTAACTTTTCCACCTTGAGGAAAGTTGCCAATACTTGTGTGAGACAAAGACTATAAATTCATTGAAGTCTCCAAAGGTTAATAGTACCTCACTATAGTTCAGTAGCTCATACCATTTTTAATAGATTGTCAAATAGAGGAGATCAATAGGATTTTGGAAAATCTCTTAACAAAACTTACAGCTAGCCATGAACAACAATGAGATTTCTTGGTGGCTCAAGCTGATTTTGCCTATAATAGGTACAAAAATAGGAGTATTGGATATAGTCCATTTAAGGTTGTATATGGTTCCAAGCCCTTGTTTGATTTCACTTCTTTTATGTACTTATTCAAATAAGTACATAAAATAAGTGGTAAGACCATAATAAGTGGAAAATAAGCACTTATTCTTATTTGACAAATAAGCCAGGAATAAGTGCTTATTTTTGAAAATATTTTTGTAATGCCCAAACTGCATGGATGGAGAAAAACAGTCTTCTCGATTCGCACAGTTTGAGCAAGGCAACGATGACAAGATCTTGGAGGGGTGATCGATAATGAGTTTAATGATCAGAAATAGACTGATCGGTGGTCATTTTTCGTTTTCTATCATTCCAATTTCTTCCAAAACCATTTTTGCAAAGTATTTTTGGGGGTTTTTTACTCGATTGGACCATGTGTGTCGTGGTTATTTAGATCTAAGATCTATGACCGAAATCTCATTGGAATCTCACCAACGACTGCAGGTAAGGACTCTAGCCCACAAAACATTGCTCATTTCATCTCCTTTTCCATTAAAATACACCGCTGATATTTCATTAATATACACCAAAATTTAGTGCAATATTGTTTGTGTTTATTGGTATATATTTATTTTTGTGAATAAGTAGATTTTTTTTGTGTGTTTGTTTTGGTTGTGTATTACACCAACGATAGACAATTATTAAACTTTTTATTATTTCTTTGCATATTCCAAATTTTGTGGTGTGCTTCCACATTTTTTGCTTCTTGCATAATGTATATTTTTATTGTGGTGTTCTTCCATATTTTAATTGTTGATTATATATTATTATTATAGTATGTTGGTGAAAACATTCATCACTTATGAAAACTGCTCATTGAAAATATTTTCTGAAACTGTTTTATGAAAACTACTCTTAAAAAGTATTTTTTAAAAGTGTTTTATGAAAACTGCTTGTGGAAAGAACATCCTAAAAGTACTTTACAAAAAATTGCTCTTTGAAAGTAATTCCTAAAAGTATTTTATAAAAACTACTCTTTGAAAGAACTTTCTGAAGGTATTTTATAAAAACTACTCTTTGTAAGGATATTTACTATTTATTTGTATTATTCTTCATTATCTTTGGTATATTGTTAATATTTTTTCTTAAAATTATTATTATTACCATTACCATTATCATTATTATTAGTTTTATTGTTGTATTATTGCTATGTGTAGGCCCACATGGCACTCCATGTCGGTTACATATGGATCCAAATGTGTCTTGAAGCAGTGATGTGGCAAGTTCCTTTGAAATGTATAATACAATATGTGAAAACCAATATTTATATGGGTGTGTGAAATAAGGGCAAAAATGCCTTTTCCATAAAATGAAATAATTATTGGGGGAGTGGCTTGCCAAACAACCTCACATCAATATATACTTAAAATAAATACAAGTGGTTTGGAAAGGGGATTGTCAAACAGGGTTAAGTACTTATTCAAATAAGTACTTAAAAATAAGTATTTATGCAATAAATACTTATTTCTCAAACCACTTATTCATCAAATAGGGCCCAATTCCTTTAGCATCTTCAATCTTGCTATAATTACCTGGCTAGGCCAAGTTCTTGTCAAGGTTGATGATTTAGTGTAGAAGTTTAAGAACCTTCATAAAAAAGTGCATGACAAGTTTAAGAACCTCCATAAAGGAGTAGTTGTATTTGATGTAGGAGGCTATGCTTGGGAAGTTCTAACAGATAATGATTTACTGGTTGGAGAGTGTGGAAAGCTAGCATTAAGGAATATTAGACCGTGTGAGATAGTTGAAGTTGTCAATGAAAATGCCCTTTGACTGAAATTACCTAGCCATATATGAACTCATGGATGTTGTATAAGAGGAATCTAATAAGTTTTATGCAAGATGGGAATGCTCCAAGACATGCATGTAAGAAGTTGAGATGATACAATTAACCTATCTAGGTATACATTTATACTAAGTTGGCTCAATGACCCACCTTAGTTTGTATTTACCAACATAGTTTCATTTTAGGATTTTTGAACTTGTTTATCTTAGTTCCCATTAACCAAGTTAGTATTACAGTGGAATTTCTAAATTTACCTTCAATTAGGAGTTTGTTCTTAGTAGAGATTTAGTTGGTCTTTAATAAATAGTGTCAGGTTAGATTAGGAAACATTCTTGTATGAATCATAAGGTTGTAAAAGAAGTCTATAAAATGAATAGATCACTGCTAGAAAAGTAGTTCTGTTGATTCTCTTAATTATTCATTTAGGCTCAGTTTGGAAAGAGTACAAATACAAATATGTACAATGCAAATACATACAAAATAATACAAAATATAAGGTTTTGCATTCTATAAATTTGTAC